CTTTAGAGTTTTATAATTCATTATCTTCTTGTCGATCCACCAGTTCACATTTACAACTGCGTGTTTTCTGCATAAAAATAAGGGTAATTTTTGGCTTTGGTTTTGGCTTTGGTCTAAACAAAAAGCATAAGGGCTTATTGAAAAATGCAAATTCATTCTCTGCCAGCAGGTGGCGCTTTTCGACAGGAATATAGTGTATAAGTGTAAGCTATATCTCATTTTACATGTAAATATACATTTACATGTATATTCCTATCCAAATTTGAAATTTGTATGCGTCTATAGTGTGAGAAAGATGCGTTTCATACAAGATCTGGCAACTGGACAACCTTGAAATTTGTTGTCGTGATTATTCATATAATGAGGTTTGGCCCTCATTATATGAATTACGGAAGTACGGAAGTTTTACCGGAAGCGAATGTAGCAAACATAAAATACGCCCAGTGGGATTTTTTTATAAAAAGATTAAAAATACGGGAGAAATACAGGAAACTATTTAAACGGGATGATAGCGGGATAGAAAGGTAAAATACGGGAGAATCCCGGGAAAAACGGGAGGGTTGACAGGTAGGCTATGTGTTAGTGGTGTTTTCACCTTTTTAGGCCACACTGCTGCTCCAACATCTGGGAAGACTGTAGCGCCCCCTGCTGACACGTCACTCATCTGCAACACATCAAAAGTAATGATAGTACAGTGTATGTATAATGCTGTATTACTTTTACATTTTATTGCAGGCATTTTAACAAGCATATTTAGTTGAAATCAGACACGTGATAAATCATGCTGAAGACCATAAAATGGTGAAAGTAATGATTGACAGTGTGTTATATAGTGTGTGTGCGCATGTGAAGACAGGTTACTCACATAAAAGAGCCAAGTGGCAATTCTGTTTCCTGTTCCCAGTTCTTTAAAGGCATCTGGTTCATCTTTCTGTATGAATTAAAAAACGCAGTGTGAAAAAATTAGATATATGCTTACACTACCGTTCAAAAGTTTGGAGTCTGAAATATTTTTAAATATTTTTGAAAAAAGGCTCTTATACTCACGAAGGCTGCATTTATTCAATCAAAAATACAGCAAAAACTGTAATATTGTGAAAGATTATTACAATTTAAAATAGCTATTTTCGATTACTATTTAAAATGTAATTTATTCCTGTGATGGCAAAGCTGAATTTTCAGTAGCCATTACTCCTCAGTGTCACATCTGACATGATCCTTCAGTAATCATTCTAATATGCTGATTTGGTGCTCAAGAAACATTTCTTATGATTATCAGTGTTAAAAACAGCTCTGTGGAAATCGTGATACATTTCAGGATACTCTGATGTAAAGACAGTTAAAAAAACAGCATTTGTTTTATAATAGCAATCTTTCAGAACATTATAAATCAATTTAAGGTGTCCTTGCTGAATAAAAGTATTATTTTCGTTAAAAAAAAAAACTTACTGACCAGACTTTTGAACGGTAAAGTATATAAACAATATAATAATGCTATGTTGATTTAAAGTGCTGTGTCTTTTTTATCTGTGAAAGGACAGGAACTCACTCTTCCAAAGTCAAAATGAGGCTCGTACTGACCACCAACTCCATAATTTGCAACCTTAGATGAAAAACATTGATTATGACAACCTTTTCAACAAAGCAATATTACAATGGCTGGATTCTTGTTACATGAATGTGCCACCAGACTAAAATAATCTTATTGGATGATCATGTGAAAGCCTCTCTTACCTGCAGCTCTTCTGCTGTGTCCATTTCCAGGCCTGTTACATCCTCGATACGTTGGTTAATCTTTTCAATTGTAGAATGCTCATATTCATACAGCCAAGCACTAGAATGAGGAAAAGAGAGTGGAAGTTGAACAAAAAAGTTAAATGAATACAAAAGCAGTTAATATGCCATTACATATAATAAACAGACCACATGCCACAACATGCACATGAAAGATTTTCAGACGTTTTCACATCATGTTTATGGTGAAAAGATTTCTAATGTGGAATAAAATGACTGTATTTTATTTAGCTATGAATGTGAAAATGGACAGACAAGTGAAACCGTGAAGAGTGGAAAAAGGGATTAAAAACAGAGAAGACAGCAGTCAGCAAAATGAGTTCTCTCTCTTCACACTGAATATCAGAGTAAAAGGAAATTAGCAACACTAAACTCATTGAGGATTATGAATGAGTGTGATTGTGTGTGTGTGCGCGCGTGCGTGCGTGCGAGAGAGAGAGAGAGAGAGAGAGAGGCCCCTCAGCTACTGCAAATCAACTAAAACATTCATCTTAACCATGTTTTCCCCAAACTGACACCTGCAACACTGATTTAATTAATTAATTAATTACATTTCATACACATTACTGTTCAAAAGTTTGGGGTGAGATTTTTTTTTAAAGTTTTTCAACAGTCATATTGTGAAATATTATTCCAATTTAAAATGCATGTTTTCTATTTTAATATATTTTATAATGTAATTTATTCCTGTGATGCAAAGCTGAATTACTCTAGACTTCAGTGTCACATGATCGATCAGAAATCATTATAATATGCTGATATGGTGATCAAGAATTTATTTGAAACCGAAATCTTTTGTAACATTATAAATGTATTTACTGTCACTTTTGATTAATTTAATGTGTCCTTGCTGAATAAACACTTTTTTTTTTTCAAAAGACTCTTACTAACCCAAACTTTTTAACGGTAGTGTATATATCATTTATTTTAATATATGCATTCCCTCTACAGAGCGTTAGTGGTCTTAAGCTCACAATCCGACACATTCATAGCTTTTGGTGTGAAAGGAATCCTCGAGTATTCCAGCGACTCCACCCAGTCTGCCCATGCAGAGACGTGTGTTCTCAAACACTCATAATAACTAGGATACGTTAAACCACTCTGGTGTGGGTGGAAATGTGAGTGAGACAACAGAACTATGTATAGCTCTATTAAAAAAGATATTTACGTCCACAGACTCAAACGGCTTGTCATGTGGAAACTCAAGGCACTGTTCTGTACGTGTGCGTGCACAATTATTTATTTAACAATTCTCAAATATTTCAGATAGTCAAAATATTAAGGGCACTATAGTAGAAGAGAGACTCCAACAACTGTTGCCTGTGAAACTTTCTATGGCTAATTTATAGCCAAGTAAAGGTTGGATTTTTGGGCTTAATCCAGTATCAGAACACGCTGTGAATCTACATTTCAAAGGGGGCTCTCTAGAGATGATGATCAGATGATGATGATTTTGGATAGGATGGTTTGACCTTTTGATCCCTTACCTCTTGGAGACTCTGTAATGGGCAGTGGTCAGTTTTCCCGTATTGGGATCGTGCACAGTGGCTCGCTTTAGCTATTCACCATTACACAAAGCAAAGAGGAGAGAGAGAGCAAAGGTTGGAAGAGGAACAAGAACATACAAAAACATGGACAAAGGAAGTGCAAATAAAAAAAGGAAGACAAGAGAAAAGGAGAGAGACAGAGAAAGGGAGAGAGGTCACTTTAGTGTCATTTTCTGAACTGAAGCCATGTAAAGAACAGGGACAGAACTGTACACCAGCAGCGATTAGGGCTGCAGGATTATGACAAAAATCATAATTATCGATTATTCCCTTGAAATTGTAATTGCGATTATTAATTACGATTATCACAATTGACATTGAATGATGTTTATACCATTGTTTGATGCAACTGCATGCTGTATTTTTATATGAAAATAAACCAGCTGAAAACACTCTAACTGAAAAAAATTTGTGCATTTCTATAGTATTAAGCCTCAAATGTCAACTATACATCGGATTGGTTTCTTCTTTAAATTATAAAAAGTACAAATATGAATGGTATTATAATGTTAATTATCACAATTTACATTGAATGATGTTTATACCATTGTTTGATGCAACTGCATGCTGTATTTTTATATGAAAATAAACCAGCTGAAAACACTCTAACTGAAAAAAATTTGTGCATTTCTATAGTATTAAGCCTCAAATGTCAACTATACATCGGATTGGTTTCTTCTTTAAATTATAAAAAGTACAAATATGAATGGTATTATAATGTTATACTAAAACTAAAATTAAAGCAATGGGAAAAAACCTTAAGATAACATGTAGAAAGAAAAAAAAAGCATCTTAAGCACGCAGAATAACATAAGTGGACTTTGAACATTTAATTGCTGCTTTGAACGATTACGTAATTGTGGCATCCATAATTGTAATCGCGATTAGAAATTCGATTAATTGTGCAGCCCTAGCAGCGATGCAAAAGTTTCAATAATTTTGACCCCTCAAGTCAAAGTTATTAGCATACATTAATATATAAATTACTAATCCTAAACTTTCAAATTGTAATTTCAAATCACTATGTCCCAGTCCAAGCACTCCGCACAGACAACATGATGACTACTGCAAGAAAAAGTAACAAAGTAGAGCATTTCTTACTCTTTCTTTCTTTCTTTTATCCAGCACCATGTGACAAAAGACAGCAAAGAAGGGTGGACAACTCCTCAGCATGAACGCAATATCTAGTGTGTATTAGTTAAAGTCTCAGCTAGTTCCTGTCAACATGATATGACATTTTAGATTCTAGATTTCAGTATGCTATTAAACAAAACTTTTTGGAAGAAAATAAAATATCATTTTAATTATTTATAATTTAAACATATTATTTTTAGTTATCTAATGCCAATTTAAATAGCAATTAATTGAACAATTGTGATTTCGGATTTACTATGTTTTGCATCGTTTCTGCTAAGGAGTTCTCAGATTCTACGGGTCGGATAGGGTTCGTTTTGTTGCCGGTGTTCTAGACTCGCACACTGATTGCCTTACCTCTTACTGATCCTGTACGGGGCGGTCTCAAGCACGCCCGTGATGGGATTGGATATAGTAGCCCTACGGAGCTGAGGAGCCAGATAAGAATTACACACAGGCTCCTGCACACCACTTCCAACCCTCAGTCATATTTACAAAAAACCTAAACCCTAAAACCCTAAAAAGGATTTTACGCTGTTGTTGCTCACATATATAAGACACTGTCTGGAAAATTTATAATCAAACATGTATAATAAAATATATATTTATAATTTATTGAAAATGTCATTATTTGTTTACATTTTTTATACAAAAAAAAAAAAAAACACTCTGCAAACCACAGCATAACTTCAGAAAGCACCACTCACTCTGGGTTTTGCCAACTCCTTCACTGTCTTGATCTCACTGTCAGAGATGATGTCATGATAACGGACAATACGTGGGCGGTCCCATTCATCTTCCTGCTTTACCGGAGCCAAACGCAACCACGGGTTACGGTTGTTGTCAAAGTAACGGCAAAACAGTCGGCTCTGTCTGCGGGGTGTCTGCAAATAAAGCAAGTAAAAGAATGAGAGAAAATGTAAAACATGTCAAATAAATAAATAAAATAGAATAAATGTTTAAAATCTTCTGCTCACCAGTTTGACTCCCTCTCCTCGGCACAGCATTTCATATTTCTTCCTCTCTGGCAGAGGGTCTTTGGACCGTTTCCTCTGAGCGTCACGTTTGTCCAGCACTTTCTTTTCTCTTTTTTTATCGTCCTGTTCCTTCTTCTCGGCCTCTGCCTTTCTCTGCTTCTCCAGCTGGAACTCAAAGTACTTTAGGTTCCCATTGGCCCTCTGGTGATTCGGGTCTGAGATTCACACACACAAACAAGTTAGGAAAAACATATTTTAGTGCCATCAGTCATCATTTCCATGTCGTGTATGTTCATTGTTTCTACCGCTGTCCTTACAAACCCATATATGTCATTCCAATCATTCATTCATTCTAATTAAAGTTCTAATTAAAGTTACAGTCATCAACACCCCATGCAAGGTTATTTTCTATATAGGTAAAGGCACAGGTCCTATCTACTCAAAATAAACTAAAAATCAAAAAGATATATACAAAAATTCTGTCTGTTCCCTAAAAGCCAATAATAATTAAACTAAACAAAAAATAAGCATTAAAAAATAAAACTCATTTTAAATTAGTTTAAAATGCTACATTTTAAATACAATAGACATCACAGCATTACAATAATGTATAATATGAAACGATATTCATTTTAAGATTTTCTGAAGACTACATTTGCCCAGTGCTGTTATTGTTAACTATGAAAAATCATTTTCATTAAATAAATATGAAATAAAATAAATAAATACAATCAAATATAAATATTAAATGGAAAACTTAAACTAAAAAATGAAAATAAGAATGCTGCCTTGGCAACTAACTGAAATAAAGAAGTTTAAGTACAAAAATTACTAAAATGAAAACGGAAATAAAAATTAATGTAAAAAACTAATTAAAAAAATGGCAAAAGCACATAACAAAAGTATTAAAACTAAAATCTTAATAAAAACAAAAAATATAAAATAAAAATATTTAATTATTTTAAACATGTTAATACATTTTATGAAGTATATAAATAATATTAAAAGAACAAATGTAATTAAATTATTAGTTAGATTTTTTTTACCCAGTTTCAGCATCCTCTTGGTGAGCTCCAGGGCTCGCTCTAGTTCCCCCTGCTGGTAGATGGCATAATTCAGGTAGTCCATGACTGTGACCTTTTCTATGGTGGATTCCTCGCCTTCATCCAGCTGTGTGAGGGCCTGAGCCATCCAGAGCTCTGTGTGATAGTAATCTGCCTCAGAGTAAGCAATCTTCCCCAGCTCAAAGCAGTCGGCCACTGTCATCCGGCTCTTGTGCACAACACCTGAGGTCACACCAGTAAAAAGACACAAAGACAAATGGTCTCAATAATTAAATGTCATATATTGACCTGCGTTGTTCTAGATATCATGAAACGAATATGATTATGATGTTATTTTAATTTTAAGATATCTATTTTTCTGCTGTCCCATAGGACAACCATTATACTACAACAAGGGTTAGTTTCCTAAATAACCAACTATGCAGACATATTTGAAACACACATTACTTCCAGATCATAACTGGTGCTTTCATTTTTTCTTTTTTGAAATGGCACTAGTTTTATCACTATCTTATGGAAATGACAAAGAATCTTCAAAGAAATATATATGCAACATATCACAGACACAGCATGATGCTTCTCATAGGGTTCACGCAGACCGTGGTAACGCAATGTACTTGATGAAGATATGCACAGTCTGGAATGCATAAACACACAGACATGTACAATTGCTCACCAGGCAAGTCTCCATTAGAGATGGTGTTGGCAGACAGCTGGTATGTGTCCTGTAATCTAAGCAAAGCTTTGGCTGCTCCTGTCTGGTCCTCTTCTGTTGGGAAAAACTGTCTCTGCATGGTTAGATTAGAGATAAACCCTACAAAAGAGAACAAACAGAGAAGAGAGGCCTGACATTGAGGATTACAAGATTACAGAAGATTAAGAGGTTTATAACACATACAGACAAATTTAAGCAAATAATGCAATTACTAGCAGTGCAGTGGCCTGTATGAATATCGTACAGTACCATTTAAAGGTTTGGGGTCAATGAGATTTTTTTGGCAGAAATTCACATTTTTATTCAGCAAGGACATTAAATTGATCAAAAGTGGCATTAAAGACATTTATAATGTTATAAAACATTTCAATTTCAAATAAATGAATCTTAATTAAAAACTAATAATAGTTTCCACGAAAATATTAAGCAGCACGATTGTTTTCAACAGTAAGAATTTTTTCTAAAGCTCTGAATCAGTATATTAAAATATAATATTAATCATTATCAATTATCATTGTATTATCAATTACATCACTTATTAAAAATCAGAAAAATGTCGATGAAGACTGGAGTAATGGCTGCTGAAAATTCAGCTTTTCCATCACTATTTTAATTTGCAATAATACTAAACCTAACTCTTTTCCTTGTACTTCTTGCAAAACATTAAACAAAAATAGTACCAACCACAAACATTTAAAGGGTAGTGAATATCATAAAACATCAAACACCAATACATGAATAGCTTCACATTATGTAACACTTGTGACAGTAAGAAATCAGTAGCTATATATAATGTTATATATAAATAAATATCTTTTTAAAGAGATGTATAAAGTCATTCTGCCCATCACTAATTACTATGTCAGACTTTGAATGTCACTAACCGTTGGTGGTGTCTTTCAGCACCAGGCTCTCCAGATCACCCCACTCACTGTTGAGTCTTTTCACCAGCTTGAAGGCATTGACCGGGTGCCCCAGGAATCCCTCAGGGTCCTGCGTGGCTGTGTTTGTCAGTGAGTCCAGTTTGTCTGCCCATCTGATGCAGGAAACGAAGCACAATATTCACCAGCTGTTTAGTTATTTGTGAATCTCAACTCCCCAAGCAGGCAGACATGTTGAACATGTGAACATTTACTCACTTTTTGACCTGCTCTAGTCTGTTCTCCTCCTGTCTGATGTATTCTTTCAGTGATGTCACCAGGTCCTTCTCTGTGTACAGCAGGTCTGTCATCTGACCTACAAGTCAAAAAGTGAAACTTCACAAATCTGAAACACCTCAGACTTCCTCTAATCTACTAAACAAAGGTTGTCAGAAGACTAAATACTGTACAAAGCTTCAATGACAAATTTAACCCTGTCAGATGTTAACACATTTTTTCTGAAATTTGCTTGATATATATATATCTTGCAAAAAAAACAAAAAAACAATAGCTGCTACTTTTGAATGACCCTTGAGTCACAAGCACTTCCTGCAAGTTTCATATGTTTGGCAGGATGTATAGCCTAAGGAATGGATACAGAAAAAAACAATGGAAGATCAACTCACCTATAGAAGTGAAGAAGTCATTGCGGGCGTACAGAGAATGGAAGAGGAAACTCAACAGGAACCAACACAAACCCATCCTGAAAGAAACAGAGACGGTCATACATCTAACACAATGCAATGCACAAGATCTTCCTGATGATGTCGTAAGAATTAATTTGTTCTGCCTTTTGAGGCGTTAACACAATCAGGTACTACAGCCAACTCTCAGAGCAAGGAAAATGCATTACTAAACCAACTAACACACTGAAAATACATTGAAAAATGTGGTTTTGGTTGCAATAACCCCCAGTGCACACCCATTTGGATACACATGGCCACAGAGTGGTCACTGCTGGATCAGAATTTTGGCACAAAGGTGGAATCCAGAGGGCAAACATCCTGACAAATTTACTGACACACACTGTGAGATCCACACAAAGCTGTTACACACACAATCATAAGCATCCCTTGTATTATTAGTTACAACTGTTGCATCTTAAATGCACATCTGAGTTTAATATTTTGCAGATGTGACATGGTATGCGAAAAGCATCTGACACATGAGATATGCAAAAGTAATGCCCTTAAGGGCCAAAAATCAAAAACTCACAGGACCTGCTCTGCTGTGCTTGCTCATGTGCTCCGCAGGAGGAACCCGTCTGAATGAGCAGGCATCTTGTATGAACTACTCTTAATGCCACATGTCAGAATAAGATGAATGGTATAAGGTCATCATGAAGGATACAATGTAACACGTGAACTTGCAAGCCTCAACATAGAGAACTGGCTTTATCATAAAGATCTACATTAAAGTCTTAAATAAAATAACTGACTTTCAAAGTTACATCTAGCATTAGAACATCGTCAACTTTTTATCCTTCAAAGACATCAAGGCAGAATTACTTCCAAGAAAAATCTCCTCTAAACCTGCATAAACCTAAATGTAATATA